TAGTTTAGTCTGGCATAAAAAAACTGAGATCTCGGGAACAAGTAAATGATGTCTGACAAGCCACAGTCATACAGGATTATTACAAAACATACAGTATAAGCTGCGCTTAAGATTACATGATGGCTCATTTTTAGCTTAAGTTATTTGTATATAATTATTCATTTAAATAATGTAAAAAAAGAATTAAAATCAATAAATATTACAGACTGTTCATGTTTTATGCCTTATAAATAGTGAGATAAACAGTTTAAGGAGCTTTAAAAATGCTGTAATATTGTCTGTCAAGCCTGGAGGCAGCACTAAGTTTCTTATCTACTAAAACGTCCTGCCACACGTCATACATTCCTTCTTTTTTTTCACACAAAGTTTTCCTTCTGATTTATAAATTGCTTATACCCTTCCTCACACCATCCAGATTCTTTCGCTCAAGGGTCGTGTTTCCATACCACCACCTGTGAAATGCTTATCTGATAATAGAAGTCATGAGAAAAAATAATCTACATTTCCCCAGTGCTACTAAGAAGTCTGCAAAAGAGCGAGTTGTGTGCCAAATGTTATGTCATGCCTGTAATGACAAATGTCTTTAAAACAGGCTGCCCTCCGCTGGGTCAAATGGAACATCTGGTGCCATTCTGCTTTAATGATGCGTTCGAAAGTGATTTGTAAATACTGACACGCTATCTGATGGCATAATTATCGGATGCCTGTTGCTTTTCATTCTTCAGAATTGGCGTCAAACGTGCATGAAAGCCAATCATTGCCCCTCTCTGCATTCTTTCAGAGATGTATAGCGTACGCAGGCAGCTGGTATGCGGATTTTATGCCATGTTATGGTTACGTGACAGAATGATTTGAGCCTATTAGTGCTTCTCCGTGAGCTATATATAGATCCATGTGTTCAGAAGCTCAAGAAAGAGTTTTATTACTCATTAATAGGTTGCCCAGAGCTCTGGACATTCTCAAGGGGAACGTACATTATGACAACTTATCAGCAACGTACCACACACATAGAGCAGGCACTAGATGTTGTGTTACTGCTTTGTACAAGTCATTGATTTAATAGTGTCTATTAATTTCTGCTCACGAGGAAACACTTATGGTCCAGCTGCAGTGTTCATATTATTATTGAATTATTATTGTTTTTCTTCTCATTTAGCCTGATTAATTTTTTAATTTTCTTTTTTTTCATCACTCAATGGAGTTCAGTTGCTTGCCACTATCTCTTAACTATGACCTCAGTCAGATCACATGAATTAGTCACAATTTCGGCACGATTCAACACAAGAGTCTATTGTTTCTTCTTGTGTAATGTGGCATAGTTGATGACAACTGACACCATGTCTGCGACGCTTCATGACATCATCACAGAAAGTCTAGCATGTTTAATTTTGTTCTCGTTCTTCACGAGTTCCATCACATGGGTGGCACTGTGTAATAGGTACATAATTTTTTCATTAAATCAGTGGTAATTAGGTAATCAAAATATAGGCTGCATATATATTTACTTATGGGTGGATAAGAGCAATCATTGATAATGCAAACTTTAACTACCTTTTCTAAAATTTTAAGTTGTTTTAAGTAAATTTATCTAACAGACTGGCACAGACATCTTCATCCTCACAACGAGTTTCTGAGTTCTCTCATCTTTCCAACAGAGTTTGTACTTCCGAGGTGTTCTGGAAACATGATTAGTGCTGCGAATACATTGTAAAAGCATTTCCTGCTTTTTCACATTTGTCATTAATAATGAAACAGTTTAATATAGGCTTCTCTGAAACTGTGAATATTTCACTTTAATTTTATTTAGGCTAGATTATTATTTTTATTTAACAAGCACAATAAACACAATGTGTTAAACAGCAATTCTTGGTTTGGCGCTGAAGCATAGCAGAGTTGTTTTGAAGCATTTCACCTCAAGTTATTCTTGTTTATCTAGTACAGGGGTGGCCAACCCCTTTTCCTGGAGAGCCACCTTCCTGCAGATTTCAGTTGCTACCCATATTAAACACACCTGAACCAACTAATAATGACCTGAACACCACGTGATAATTACAGGCAGGTGTGTTTGATATGGGTTGCAACTGAAATCTGCAGGAAGGTGGCTCTCCAGTAACAGGGTTGGCCCCCCCGGAGTAGTAGATAACTGACCAACAAACCATACATTCCAATTAAGAAAAAATATCAAACAAAATTTGTTTCAAAAAGATATTTTTTTCTAAGAAAAAGATACAAATTATATTTTTGTTTGTGCCCATTCACTACTCAACTATACGGGTGGATGATTTATTTTTCTCTGTGGAAAATGAGGATTTAATTAATGCTTTACTGTAGTTGTTGTACCACAAACCTTTGATTTTTTTTTAATATGTTATTATTTTAAAGAGTATTTCTGATTGCATCTGATTTTTCCTTGCTGCTGATGTGCTTTTATTATTATTTTTTTTGTCTCACTCGCGGCAAGTTCAGGCAAGGGAGTGTTTAATAAGCAACCCATGGCTGGAAAATATACATTTAGATTTCAATGAAAATATCATAATATTAAAAAGGAGTCATAAGTTTGATCTTATCCATGTCATAATAAATACCCTTAAAATATGTACCTATTAGTTGTAGCAAGCATCAGTGTTTAGTGAGATTGAAAGAGGATTTTAAAAAATGATTAATGAAGTTGAGATAAGAAATATTGTTATAGCAACACTTGTGATTGCTTTGGGAAATAACGCTTGTAGTAGACATCACGGAATGACTGATCGTGAAGGCACATGTAGCTTAAATGAATAAATTTGTTTTATTTAACAGGTACAATGCACAAAAATTACATTAACCTCAAAGTGGAAAGATGCATTGTGCCAGGTTGTAGCAAGATGGCTATTTTCCACCTGCAATCCCTGGACAGATAAAAATTAAAACAATAAACACATCTGTTACCCATGACAATTCAAGATTTTATCTAGACAAAATTGAATAATCTGACATAGTGACTTTCGTAACCAACAATATAAGTCAATAAATGTGATCTGGCCTGGGCTTTAGTTGATCTTTAAAAGATACTTTACTTCATATTCAGAAATATTATTGTTTTATTGACACTATTGGATGATAACTTGAAATTATTTATGCTGCATGGTGATGATACAATTGTGTCCATTACAGGAACTTTATAAAATGGCACTGTTATCTTATGTACATTGCTGTGTAGCAGTTTATTAACAGCTTCTTGAACGTTTTTTGCATACAGTTTTGAATTGCATGTATTTATTGATTTTTTGTATTTTAAAAGAATATCTGATTAATATAGGGAGTAAGCCGAAAAGTAAATGAATGAATGAATGAATGAATGAGTGAATAATGTCAAGTTATTTTTGAATTTTTTTCTATATTTCTATATTTCCTATACAATATATGTTTTCACCCTGCTACAAATGCCAATAAATAGAATTTTGTTAAGCTGTAAACGTTTTAAAATGTAAAGTTAGTATATGTCAATTCAAAAGCACAAATAAAAAAAGAATCATGTACTATCAACAATTTCTGTTAAGTAACTGTTTTAATCACTGTTTTTTACAGTGAAGTGTTGCTTATTGCTGAATTTAAGTCATTTTATAGATAATTATTAAACTGATTATTTACCCAATAATCAATAATTAATTAAATAATTGATTGATTGAAGTGATTAATGTTTGCCCATGTTGCATTTTTGCATAACGTTATTTCACATAGGTATACCTGTTACATAAGTTCAAATTCGCAAAAGTAACAGTCTTGGCACTATAAAATAGCCTGACATTGCTGACTTGTTTTGATCTAACATTGTTAGCTGTTTTTCATTGAACATACAACTTGTATAATGCCATTAATCATTGTGACAATAAATGCAGCTTTAGTTAAGCTCTATTACACCACGCTGTCATAACCACAGCATAATTAAACTTGCTTTTACACACACAAGATGTTCTATGCAATGTTATATTGACAGACTTTGAAATTAACACCCACCGACTGCAGGTGAAAACAGCTGCGGCTGGTCACAAAGTCAAATCACTTGTCACTTTGGCTAGTTATGTTTCGAAAATTATATTATGTCAATCTGCTGGTGAAGTTCATGTAATCTGTGCAGATAAAGTGCACATGCTCAGCTCATGAGTCTTACTTTAACAAATAAAAATGAGCTGGTTTGTTTGCTGCAACCCCCATATGGAAAATTAATGAACTGCATAGCAATGAAGAGCAATGTCTGTTGTATTAGCTAATAATGGTCTGTGCTGCTGTCTGTTTATATATATATATATATATATATATATATATATATATATATATATATATATATATATATATATATATATATATATATATATATATAGTATTGTATTGTATTGTATTGTATTGTATTGTATTTAAATTGTAAATATACATATGTTATTGAGATGAAACTATTCTCTCATAATTGCTCTATTTTATGATGTTTGCATCATTAATTCAGCAATTATTCAGTTTATTACTGTGAATCAGCTGGCAAAATGTACTACATTTTGTAAATAAATTTGAGTTGACTGACTTGATGTAATTTATCCCCCAAAATAAAAATTTTGCCATGATTTAAAATATATTCATATTGTTTCAACCCGAATAAAAATTCACTTATTTTCATAATGCTAATGTAGATATAAGACACATCTGTATGTTAATACCAGGTAGAAACAGTAATACATCCTAGCAGAAGACCTATGATCAGATCACTGAAAATGCATGTTATTAATGGAAACCAGCCCAGAGTTTTGGGTTGACAGACTTCATGTGGAGAAACAGAAATCTTTTAAAATTGATTAAAATATCTTCATCTGTATTCCTAAGATGAATCAAAGGCTTTTGGAACAACACAAAGATAAGCAAATGACAACCAAACCCTTTGAAATCTAGGAACGGACCTATTCATTTTCATTTTAGAATTCAATTTCAATTTTAAAAAGATAAAGAATGAAATATCTTATTTTCTCCCACAGGAAAATCAAAACCAACTACTTCATCGTCTCGCTGGCGTTTGCTGACCTGCTGGTGTCAGTGCTGGTGATGCCGTTTGGTGCAATAGAACTGATCCATCAGAACTGGATCTACGGAGAGACTTTTTGCCTGGTCCGCACCTCTCTGGATGTGCTGCTGACCACAGCCTCCATCTTACACCTGTGTTGCATCTCCCTTGACAGGTAAACTAAAGACGATGCACAAAGTGTATTAAGTATAAAAGTGTTATTAAGGTGGGAAACTGTTTGCGATGCACCTGCATTTTTTTGCTTTTCAATGTGTGTTTTTTAGACTAATAGTAAAAAAATTAGACACTTTTTAAGTACTTGATTTGTAACACTTCACTATCAATCCGTTTCTATGTGTTGCCATTACAGCACATATTTTTAAAGGCTGTTTTCTCAAAATGAATTTTTTTTTCCTGCACTGAGTCATAATTCTCCACTTGAGCAGCTCTTACATACAACAAAGTTCAGTTTTATACATGTCATTTTGGAACACCTGCCTTTACATGCATAAGAACTTTAATTACATCGAGAGTTGGCAGCTATAACAATGTCAACTCTTCTAAGGAGACTTTCCACAAGGTTTAGTATTTATAGGATTTTAACAAACGTCTTGAAGCACATTTGTTAGATCAGGCACTAATACTGGATAAGAATACCCAAACTGTTCCCAAAAAAAATTGAGAGCATGACTTTTGGCAATATGGTGTATATTCCAAAGATATTTACAGAGCAATGTGTTGATAGATAGTATGACCTATTATACATAAGAGCTATATCACTTGCGTAGAAGTGCGTATTGACGATATATAGCCATATCGCACTGCTACTCACGTCATATTGCGTTTATACAACAGTTTGACAGCATAATCATGTATATAAAAAAGAAAGTCAAACACAAAGACTCTAAAAATCTTTTTGTATCAGGAACTACTTTCTTCCGCTATTCCACATCTGTTGCTGACATCAGAAGCCATTACTAATTCACTAATGTAATTTTAGAGCTATTTGAATGATTCTCTAGGGTAGTATCTATCTATCTATCTATCTATCTATCTATCTATCTATCTATCTATCTATCTATCTATCTATCTATCTATCTATCTATCTATCTATCTATCTATCGATCGATTGATCTGTCTATCTGTCTGTCTGTCTGTCTGTCTATCTATCTATCTATCTTTTGTGACGACAAAACGGATGATTTTGCTGACATTTTAGGATAATAAGGCTAAACGGCATGAAAAGCCATCAGTCATTTCCCAGCATTTCACTATTTCAAACAGGATTACACAATATTTATCCCTGAAAAAGCCAAAGCAACGCAATCATACCAGACTACTGTTGTGTTTGTGATAAGAAAAAACGCTAAACACATGGGGAAATTTTCTTTCTTTTTACTGAACTAGTTTGCAGTAATAAAAACAGGAGACTCATTAGAAACAAACAGAGGGCCAACTAAAAAATAACACAAGCCTAAACAAAGAACATACAAAATACACACATTCCATGTGAGTCCCATCTCACACTCAATACAATACAATTACTATGATATAAATACAGCACTGCAACATGAAAAATACAGTGAGATCGAATGTCACTCACCAACTTTTTAATGTTTTGATCTGGCAGAGTAATACAGAAGGGTGAGGAGGGTGAGGAGGCTGTATAAATTCTGATATCACACGGCTATCAGCCAATCAGATTATATATATATATATATATATATATATATATGATTAAATATTTTATTCTACAAGCGTTTTTTGGTCTTTTTGCAGTATTTTCTTTAACACAAATTTTCATTTTACTAAGTAATTTGACTTTTTTTCACTTTATGTGTTCTTAGGAAACATGTAAATGTAAGCTAAATGCTTTCATATAAATTCAAAATACATTGAACTGCAATTATCTAACTAAAATAATCTAATGATAATTAGTTGGCATGTAGATGCAATAAACCAAATATTATAAATAATATATATATATATATATATATATATATATATATATATATATACCAGCTGTAAAAATGGGCCCAACAAGCTAATTAACTACTTCATATGTTCCCAAAACTACAAGTAAGACTGCTGTTGCTATGTCTGTTTATAGGCAGGCTATGTAGCAATGCAGTTACATCATTATTTGACTCTCAGTCAGAGGAAACTTGGGCCAAAATAAAGAAAAGGATAGAAAGAGGTACATTTTGTTACAAACCAAATATTATCAGTCCCCCTCCTCTCAGTGCCCTCATGCCCTCTTTAACAAGCGAGGCATTGGAAGGTGGCCCGTATGACTGCAGGGGCCGGATGACGTAAACCGGGGACAGCAGCAGAGCACTCAAACCTCATCCTGAATATCAGGGCTGAGGTCTAATACATCACTCTGGAGGAACGAAGCGGAGCTGAAAGGGTGTTACAAGCCAGAGGGAAATTCGACAAAGGCTTAGCGCTTTATTGAACTGCTAAGTGGAGTAGCCTTTACAATGTGCTACTGTCACACAAGACGCTAAACCGTGTTGAAGCATAGCTTTTAATTTCACTTTTTATTATTCGCCATAAAGTGTTTGCTTCTGACAGCAATGAGGTCAGTAACTAAATACAATGTCAGAGCATGACACCGATTATAGCCGAATGCCCATTTAGAGTTTAGACAAACTGTCAGTTGAAGTTATTCTGAGAAAATAAAAGAAACGCTGAGGCAAAAATGACGGTGTACTGGCAGGTTTGATAAAAATGTTCCTCTTGGACCTCCTGTATTTTTTCTTTTGTTGTTAGTTCTTGCGGTTATTAGAGTAATTCTTTAAAAGCACCAAGCACTAGTCAAGCGGATGGGAGTACTGTAGAACTAAATTACAGGCACTTTAACAAACAACCTGAACGTTTGGCAAAAGGCAACAATCTTTCATGAAGCCTTCAGAATTTGTGGATCATAAATCACAGACGTATGTAAACCACTGTGACCTTGAGTGCGGCACTTCACCCCAGGCTTCTCCAAAGGGAATTTTATGTAATAAGTCAACCGTAGTTTACCTTGCATTAAAAGCATCTGCTATACATGATGTTTTAAATGCTTTGATGCCAAGCACTAATAAAAATGATGGGGACTAAATTGCTAAAACATATATTTCATTATTAGAAGGACATTTTCGCAACATTAAAATCATATTTTAATAGATTTTCCATTTTTACAATTTAAATGAATATGAATTGCGACTGGAAGAGCATCCGCTGCTTAAAAAATATGCTGGATAAGTTGGCGGTTCATTCAACAGTGGCGACTCCTGATTAATAAAGGGACTAAGCCGAAAAGAAAATGAATGATAGATTATTTAAATGAAAACAATTGCACATGGGGTCATTATATATGTGCATATATTTTTCCATGGTCTGTTATATAATAATTTACATATTTTATGTTGTCGAGCAAGAAAATGTTTCTCAGTCCTACACATTTCACGTTTTTAACTGTCTGTCTTTTGCTTGACTCGAAGAGTTTATTAGGTTCATAATCACAGTGTTGGTGGACGATTCACTTGGCAAGGCACTTTGTGTGACCACACATTGATCACCATGGAAACAACATCACTACACAGTCCGCAGTACGAAACTCTCAAGTGCTCTTCCTCTGTGGCAAAACAATTTACAGCTGCCATGCAGTCATGTGTCAAGTCGATGCATTCCTGGAATTTCAATTAAGGCAAGACACTGCAGGTGAACAGGGCTTAAAATCAAGTAAAAAGTTGCTATCAACATTATTCCCCAGTTGATTTATTACATTAGGATTAGCAAACATTTATTTGCAAGTTTTATAAAATGTTGTGTAAATATGCAAATGATGCAAAATTTCATTAAATATACATTTATTAGAATTTATTTCTAAAACAAAAGTCTGAACATTGGATTTATTTCTGTTCCAATGTTTTGTGCATCTGTGTTAAATTACTTAGTAAAATGAGAATTTGTGTTAAAGAAAATACTGCAAAAAGACCAAAAATTATACGCTTGTAGAATAAAATATTTAATCATATATATATACAGGGCTCGAAATTAACCTTTTTGCTTGGTAGCACCGGTGCTCCTAACTTTAAAAATGTAGGCGCATCAGCCAAAATTTAGTCGCACCCACCAATTATGAGCACCGTTACTACAAGTTTTATACAAACATATTTATTGTATTTGAAATCAACACTAATCAAACTAACAAGCAAAAATATATATATATATATAAATGCAAACGTGTCGAAAATATGTCTTAACGAAATCCCGTTATCACAAGAAAATAGATTTTTATAACAGAACTGAGTGAGCAAAAGATACACGGAGCACTCACTGGCCCTGCACACACTGCTTAAATGAATCTGTTAACGGTATAACTTTGCTGTTCTCACAAGTGCTGTCTGATATTGCACTAATGCTTTTGACACATATTGTAGCTTATTATATGCATACATGTTAATAGCAATACTGGTTTATTTTTATGAGTAGCAATATTAGTTTACTCAATGCAAGTCCGTTCGCTATGGTGTACGTGGTGTTTAATTTGACATATAGCTGTCCCTTGCAAGGCGGACAGCATCTGGCGATTATATGAAGGATTAAACAGAAGCTCTCGTGCTAGATGTGGCAAACAGTTACCTAAAAACTCCATCCCACAGATGTTTTATAGCGGACTTGAAGCCAATGGAAGTCTTCTACTCTTGGAAAAGTGTAGATGGTGGATTAACATTTAGCACATGATCACTTCTAAGATGTTTCAGTATTTATAACTTTGGATGCCATGGTTTCTAAAACAAAGTCTGTCAGTGTTATCTTCATTCTCCTCTTCAGTGCTTTACAATTTTTCGTGGTAGTAGCTCTCTCTGTCATCCCAAGCCAGAAACGCTGACTGAGTGATTGACAGCTGATATTAAGCAATCATTCGTTTTCAGTGCTAGAGCAGTGGGCCAATAAGAAGAGCGTAAAGGCGGGGCACACATTACGGATTTGGATTTGTTTACTGCAGCAAGTTGACAAGACAACTGTTTTAAACCATTCCCGAGCGCTGCGTTTCGCGTTGCAAGTGCAGAGATGCATTCTGCGTGAATGTCTCCCGAATCTGCGCATGTGGTGAACATTTTACAGTAAAAACTGGTCGCACATAACAGTTTTAAGCACTCGCAGAAATGCTCCCAAATA